ACGGTCTGACAGCAGCATGCAGGAAGGAAAGACCTGCAGGGTCTTTTAAAAATATTTAAAAGGCCCTACTTTGTTCTTTGATAGAATAGGGATGACCCAATATGGCCGCTAAAACTTGGCGCGTTTACCATCGCCTTGTTCTTTCTAGTAACTTCTACAGAGCAGTGTGCAGCTGCTACATAATGGAAAAATACTGATGTTAAATGGTTAAGAAAACCACATTATTGTCCATACAGATCTTTGCTATTCTAGAAATCACATGTTGTAACGTATATGCACTGAATAAAGCATATTTTACTAAAATGTGTTTCGAGAAATCACATTTATTTTGTGGACACACATCCCAATATGATCCACCCGCCTCTGCTTTGCGTCATTTTGTGCCCAAATGCAGCGAAATCGGATGAAGCAGATGTGCTGTGATAAATGTCCATGTTCGATATTGTTTTACGACTTTTAAAGAGTTGTCAGATGCGCTCGACAGTCTGTTTGGTTTGCATTGGAGGCTGCTGCACCCTTCCCCCACAGAGTGTTTGTGTGGAGTGAGAGCAGAGGGAGGGGGGAGGAGGGGAAGCATAGAACACCAAAGACACGGGGATTGCGTCCACATTCAGAGTAAACACTCTCTTCCGCTCCCTTCATTCTCATTTTAATTTAAATATGTATAATTCCAAAGGTATTACAATATGTTTCAATTCTGCTTGACTAAACCCGGAACTACCTCGTCTCATAAAAGGAACATTATAAAAAATATAAGATGGTTGGAAAAGAAGGTATGTTTTGTGGATTTGGATGGGGCCATAGAAGTGCGGAGCAGAGCAGAGGAGAGATGCTCCCTCAGCTCTGGGAAAGAAAGTGTGTTTCCTCCACTTATTATTTCCACACTGCTAAACTACTTGATTTGGATCCATAGGCATAATGATGGCCTTATGATAATACAACCTGTGAACAACGCATTAGTTAAACCTGGTCGGATTCATCTATAATAACAGCTAATGGTTTATATAATAGTATTAACTAAATAGTTATTAACTATTTGGTTGAAATTATACCGATTGATTGTTAATAAATTGACTGCAATGTGCTCTGAATGAGTTTTAAGACTAAAAAGAACACCTTAATTCGGAGTAATTGTGTCTCATTTTTAATAAGCTTGTTTAGAATGTCCTCCAGGTAACTTCTGCTTAATCATAGTCAAATTGAGACATGATCTCATAACTGTTTACCAAACAACAAATACAATAAATTGACAAATCGCTAATTTGCCTCCACAACTTCCTGAAATTAAGGAACCACCTTGGTCTTGCTATACTCAAATCTTACTGATGATGTTATGACAAGTTGAGGGACTACATTAAATATATTATTTTGAAATAATACAATTATGTGGTCAAAAATGTTAATAATTGGGGTTCTTTTGAACATTATATCCTCCAGCTGGGACATAATCTAAATGAGCCTATAAAAATTAAAATAGTTTATAATGAATATTTAAATGTCATACTGTGGAAGATAATCCTAATGGACCTCATAATCAAAGGAACGTTATCACTATGGAAACCAGAAAGCGGACCACCAAGTCAAGTTTGTGAAGGTTCAACCACTGAACACTGAAAAATGTTTTCAGACTTATTTTATTGCTATAATTGTTTGATTGTTTTGTTTTCCCACTGTAGAACATGTAAAGGTTATCTTAGCAAATCTCGTTATGATTAAAAGAACAAATTAGACCAAAACATATTGTATCTCTTATTATGATGGAAATGCATATATTTTTTATATTTACTATTATTACAGCCAACTATTTGATGCGTTGGGCTGAGAGCTGATCAGCTGAGTGAGGGTCTTCCTCTCTTGTTCAGGTTTCAGTCTGAAAAAGCTGATCTAAAGATTTGACACATTCATATGAAAATATGGGGATCAAACCAGACTGTTTTGAGAGTATGGAACTATATGGATTGTATTACATTGTTCCATTGTGTCCATTGTGGTTTGCAAGTTAGGGATACAAGCTGTAATAAAAAAATTGTTTCTAATATAGTATATTTTCCAACATAAACACTGTATCATTGCAATTTATTACAGTGCCTTGCGAAATTATTCGGCTCCCTTGAACCTTTCAACATTTCGCCACATTTCAGGCTTCAAACAAAGATATAATTTATTTTATTTTTTGTCATGAATCAACAAGTGGGACACAATCATGAAGTGGAACGAAATTTATTGGATAATTTAAACTTTTTTAACAAATAAAAAACTGAAAAGTGGGGCGTGCAATATTATTCGGCCCCTTTACTTTCAGTGCAGCAAACTCACTCCAGAAGTTCAGTGAGGATCTTTGAATGATCCAATGTTGTCCTAAATGACTGATGATGATAAATAGAATGCACCTGTGTGTAATCAAGTCTCCGTATAAATGCACCTGCTCTTTGATAGTCTCAGGGTTCTCTTTACAGCGCAGAAAGAACCATGAAGACAAAGGAACACACCAGGCAGGTCCGAGATACTGTAGAGGAAAAGTTTAAAGCCAGATTTGGATACAAAAAGATTTCCCATGCTTTAAGCATCTCAAGGAGCACTGTGCAAGCAATTATATTGAAATGGAAGGAGTATCAGACCACTGCAAATCTACCAAGACCCGGCCGTCCCTCCAAACTTTCATCTCAAACAAGGAGAAGACTGATCAGAGATGCAGCCAAGAGGCCCATGATCACTCTGGATGAACTACAGATAACTACAGCTGAGGTGGGATAGTCTGTCCATAGGACAACAATCAGTCGTGCACTGCACAAATCTGGCAAGAAGAAAGCCATTTCTCAAAGATATCCATAAAAAGTCTCGTTTAAAGTTTGCCACAAGCCACCTGGGAGAGACACCAAACATGTGGAAGAAGGTGCTCTGGTCAGATGAAACCAAAATCAAACTTTTTGGCCACAATGCAAAACAATATGTTTGGCGTAAAAGCAACACAGCTCATCTCCCTGAACACACCATCCCCACTGTCAAACATGGTGGTGGCAGCATCATGGTTTGGGCCTGCTTTTCTTCAGCAGGGACAGGGAAGATGGATGGAGCCAAATACAGGACCATTCTGGAAGAAAACCTGTTGGAGTCTGCAAAAGACCTGAGACTGGGACGGAGATTTATCTTCCAACAGGACAATGATCCAAAACATAAAGCCAAATCTACAATAGAATGGTTCACAAATAGACGTATCCAGGTGTTAGAATGGCCAAGTCAAAGTCCAGACCTGAATCCAATCGAGAATCTGTGGAAAGAGCTGAAGACTGCTGTTCACAAACGCTCTCCATCCAACCTCACTGAGCTCGAGCTGTTTTGCAAGGAAGAATGGGCAAGAATTCCAGTCTCTTGATGTGCAAAACTGATAGACATACCCCAAGCGACTTGCAGCTGTAATTGCAGCAAAAGGTGGAGCTACAAAGTATTAGCGCAAGGGGGCCGATTAATATTGCACGCCCCACTTTTCAGTTTATTTGTTAAAAAAGTTTAAATTATCCAATAAATTTTGTTCCACTTCACGATTGTGTCCCACTTGTTGTTGATTCTTGACAAAACATTTAATTTTTATATCTTTGTTTGAAGCCTGAAATGTGGCGAAATGTTGAAAGGTTCAAGGGAGCCGAATACTTTCGCAAGGTACTGTATGTGTAACTATAGCATATTTGCCAAAAACAACCGAAAATAGACATGTTGGGGTGCCAGTGGCTCAGTTGATCAATCCCACTGCAAGAGCTTCTCCACTGACTCCCACTGATGTCGGCTGTTGTGTCCTTGAGCAAGACACTTTTCATATAAGGAGTGTGGAAGTAATAATATGCTGCATGCCCTATTAAGAGTAAGAGATCCTTTATTCGTCCCACAGTGGGGAAATTTCAGATTTATTCATTGAACCAAATTTCTCCATTGTGAGATCAATGAAATATCTTTTTCTAGTTTTCATTAGCCCTGAATCACTGCGAATCTAACTCAGTAGTGTGTTTAATAGTGTTGTGATAGACATTATGTAAATACTGACCCAAAAAAATTGCCACTGGTTGTAAGAAATGTATTGATTAGAGATATATACATGATTTAACTAAATATTGATAAAATTTTAGGATTTAGTTGATATTTCAAGAACACGTTATCTTTGCCAATATAGACATGGTATACACTAATAATTATGATTCTGCATTGATAATCAGTATCATAATCAACACATTAGTTTTTAACTAGTGAAAAACTAGCAATCATACAACCAACAATTCACTGGAGTGCTTTGTCATATACCTCATGTCGCTCCTCTGCTAGATTCCTGAGTGTGTTTAAAATATATATTTTGAAATATATATAATTTGTGTGTTTGTGGCCTTCAAATGTCGAAGAATAGATCTTTTATTAATTGTATATATGACAAACATGAAAAAAATTAAGTCATCAGCAGGGTTTCAAAATAATCTAAATCGTTTCCCATTTTTAAAGCACGTTGAATAACCCCAAAAAGATCAGAATTGTGAAGTTTTTTTCTAAAATCGCCCAACTCTACATTTAACAACGATGGAGAAAAACTATCATAAACTAAACTACTTATCACGAATTAAAACATGAATCACTGCCTTATTTGCGTTTCAGTCCACGGCCTGCAATGTGACAGTCCCAGTCCACTCCTCTTTGATCCAGTCCTGGGTTCCCCCCGAGCCTCTCCTCAGTAAGATGGCCGTATGTCGCGGAGCCGCGTGTACGTTGGATTCGCTGCCTCTGCCCGGGCTCAGTAACACAACTCCCACAACATTTTGTGCTGTTCCCCGGTGAATGGCGCCTCCAGTAGCACAGTCTAACCCCTGAACAAAGGCCGAAATCACGGGGATGGCGGGCGGGTTCGGGCCGCTGTAGGACCCGGCATGGAGGACAGCACAACTAAACTAAAGTACTGTTTCTGTTCAAGGCTCGCGTCTGATTGTGAGTGAGACCGTGAGGGAGAGAGGTGGGGGGGTGATATCATGGCCGCTCAGGTTGCCAGCGCCACTACACTCAACACCAGCCCGCCTTCCGAGCTCAAGAGACTGGACCGAGAGGTGAAGGACGACCCTGGAGCGGTGGAGCAGCCAGCGGGGACCGGGGTGGAGAAAAAGCCCGGTTTGAGGCGCCTCGAGTCTCCCATACGAGGCGAGCTACAGCAGCAGGGCGACGCTGGAAATGCAGGGGGAGGGGAGATGAAGAACGGCAATGGGAACAATAATACCCCGAATGACTCTGTAGGAGCCGAGGGGACCAAGCACCCAGGCTCCACGCACCACCACGGTTCCGCTTTCCCGGCGCACTCGTACGGATACGGCCAGCAGTACTCTCGGCCTTTTCATCAACATGGCGGACAACAAAGCCCTGGCATGGCAGCTGGTTCAGGCGCTCAACAAGGCAATATAATGGAGCCGTATCAGCCTAATTCGCACGAACATGGCTTTGCGAATCATCAGTACAACTATAACAGCTCGTTTCCCAGGACTCAATACGCGGTGCAAAGCTACGGCCTGAGCTCCCCACGCAGTAACCAACCAGCTAAGCAGCCTCAGCAGCAGCAGCAGCAGCCACCCACCGCTATGGCTGGCTCTTACAACAACCAGAGATATAGCATTGGAAATCCGCAGCCCACATCCACACCAACGCTAAATAAGCTACTGACTTCGCCCAGCTCTACGCGCGGGGGATACCCGAACTACCCACCCGGGAGCAGCGAGTATGTTGGTGGGGAAAGCGCAGGCAAATCTGCACCAGACATGGGCAGCACAGGCGTGCAATACGCAGGGACCAACTGGCAACAAAGGGCCCATCACCAGTCGCCCATGAGCCCTGGGAGTACCGGGCAGCCGCTGAATAGAACTCAGGTAAAGCTGAACATGTGCGCAAGTGATTCATAAATCACTTTTCTCATATTCCTTTGGCCGCTATCTAATGTTGTAGGCCAGCCATTGTCTACTACTTCGCAAAGGCTCTAAAATGGCTGCCTGTCGTGTTGGTAGTTTAGCTAGGGCACAAATTGTCTAAAATGTGCGGGATTTAGCTACCTATTTGACCTATATACTTTTAGTTTAGAATAAAAATTCAGACTTCGGGGACGTACAAGCAGACAAGGCCCCACTTCAAAAGAAGCAATATTGTGAATCATGAAGCCAGGGCTCGTGTTCATCTCGTAAGCCGAAGACAGTGCACCGCAGTTACACTTAAATAAGGTTTGCTGGTTGATAATGTTTGATGAGCGCGAAATGTATGCAGTAAGATGTTAGTTGAATATTAATGGATTCCTCTTTATGTTTACTGTCATGGCACATCGCCCGATGATTTGTGATAAGCAATCTTTTGGAATACCTTGCTATGATCTTAATTATTCATATGAAAGGTTGTTCTTGGTGTTTATTAGTGCGTTTACTGTATTTTAATGATTTGATCTTGTTTTCATCCTGTGTTCTGCTCGCATGTTGATCAGCCATTCAGCCCCCGTGTGCCTGATAGGCAGCAGTGTGCAGTTTGCTTTGGGATTTGAATTGTGGAGGTAAAATGCTGCTGTCAAAGCCAGGAGGTAGTTGGTCTCGAGTTGACATGCTAGCTCCAATCTGATTGGCTCCTCAGCCCCTGCTCATGGCCATTTATAATTACATGTGATGCAGGCATCTGGTGATGACAGCACTGACTCGTGGTCATCAAAGGTAGCCTAAAACTCCAGACTTTACCGTAGAAAAGCAAGATGTGATTCAACTACATAGAGAGGGACATGGAATATTACAACAAAGGCAAAAGTATGTATTTGTCTTTGATGTTTTGGTGAAGCGTGGTTGAATGTTTGTTGAAGATGAGAACAGCTAGGGTTTGCCAAGTCAACCTCAGGTCTCATGTTTGGTCTTATCTACGCAGGAGCTGACCTTAGGCCTTAGATCCATCATGGACAATATCTAATTTAATATTTCTTTCATGTTTTGTTCAGAAAGTCATATTTCAAAAGTCATAACAGTTTTACACACTTCATTCATTCAGAGCCAATTGGACTTCTTGTGAGGGGAAAAATAAACTAGGATCTTACCCAAAACAGAAGCACAGCTGGTATTTGTTTAAGTTCAGACAAACTTCCCTCAATTTTATTAATGTATCTCAATAAAGCCCCAACTGTTGGAAAACCGTATCAACCGTGGGATATCTTTGTGCCATTTTTTTATTTTTGTTGTTTGTTTGTCAGCCCACTGGAACCATGGACCCAATGGGGAAGACAAGGGGGCAACCATATGGCGCAGGAGGACCGTATGTACAACAGCCTCAACAAGGGGCTCCTACAGGCCCCCAGCCTGGCCCAGGGTACCCAGGCCAGGGCTATGGCCCAGGACCTCAGAGATATCCACTAGGGATGCAAGGCCGCTCCCCAGGAGCCATGGGAGCCATTCCTTATGGACAGGTACTGTCCCACAGTTTCTTTGCTTTAGATTCAGAATCATTATTATCTGCTTCTGTTTTTATTTTTTTTTGTTTTCAGATGGGCTCATACGGACAGCAAGGACCAGGAGGCTATGTTTCTCAGACTCAGACCCCGTACTATGGGCAGCCTGGACAGGGGCCTCACTCGCAGCAGAGCCCCTATCCCCAGCCCCAGACGGGACAAGCTGCAGGCCAGGCCCCCTACCCAGGGCAGCACCCTCCAGCGTCTGGTCCTCATGCACAGGGAGGCCCGCCCTATCAGCAGCAGCACATGGCCCCACAGACCCAAGGGCCTGTGCCAGGACCTCAGGGACCTCCACAGTCTCAGCCTCCGTACTCTCAGCCTCCGACCCCTCAGTCCAGCCACTCACCTTACGCACAGCAGCAAGGTGCAAGTCAGAGCCAAGCCCAGACTTCCCCTGCTGCTCCGGGCTCACAGTCGACTTACCCAGTTGCCACCGCAGCCTCCTCGGGGCCCCCTCAGCCGGCTCAGCCTCAGCCGGCTCAGCCTCAGCCCCATCCACAGAGCCATCCCCAGAGTCAGGCGTACACCCAGGGTCCACAGAGTCAGCAGCAGTCACATCCTCCGTACCAGCGCTTCCCTCCGCAGCAGCAGCAGGTATTGACTCAGTCTGAACATTGTGATCTCCTTTTCCACAAGTGCACTTCAGCATGTCTCATGTTGCCTTTTAGGAAGTGTCCCAGGACTCCTTTCAGTCCACTGTCCCTCCATCTTCTCAGCCCAAACCGGGCCCAGAGGACGGTCAGGGCCGCCCCTCCAGCCTCCCAGTGAGTTCCACTTGTGTTTGTTAGTGTAGTCACTACCAGCAGTGCTTTTGAGACCACATCAGAGCCCCTCTTTGTCTTCCTTGTGGAGGAATACATGCACTTTTATTTATGTTTACTCACGTACATGTATTAGCAATAGGGAAGTGAAATGTGAAAACAGTAGTGATTAAATGCTGAAGCAGTGTAATAGTTTTTAAGAACCAAGTGTCAGGACTTATTATGCATGTGCTCTAGTTGTTTAAAGAATTGGTCTTTTCTGCAACAATGTCGTTCAATTAAAAATGAAAACTTGAAACTCTTCTAAATGGCTATAGTCTCATAGAACCAGACTTTGTTGTTTGAACCACAATTAGACCATTTTGATGATTGATTGTTTAGATTAAATGTCCACATGGAAATGCAAACCAAGTGGAGGGCTGAATAGGAAGATGAGATCCAATTGAAGCAGGGATGCTTCAATTGGACAGATGTTTTTGAGCATAACAACTTGGCCAATGTTTTTTCTTTTCGTTATATATAATATATATATTTCTTTCTTGGTGGCTTCAGTTTTCATGCTTTCTTTCTGGGCGGCACGGTGGCTGAGTGGATAGCACTCTCGCCTCTCAGCAAGAAGGTCCTGGGTTCGAATCCCGGTTGGACCAGGGCCTTTCTGAGTGGAGTTTGCATGTTCTCCCCGTGTCTGCGTAGGTTTCCTCCGGGTACTCCGGTTTCCCCTACCACTAAAAAATATGTACAATAGGTCTGGTATGTGCCTCCTGTACTGGCACCCCCACCCAACGATTGTAAACCGCTTTGAGACTCCGATGTGCAGTGAAAAGGCGGTATATAAATAATAATAGCAATAGCAGCATTCAGTAGAAAAATAGGAAAGATTATAAAAGAACCAAAATAATGTGAGAATAACAAATATTTCTCAATACAATAAGTTTACAAGAGTTTGGCAATAAAGTGGCGCTGAGAGGAAAAAAATATATAATAAAGTCCACTCTGTCATATACTCTGTCATATTTGTTCACAACATTTTACTTTTGCGTACAACCAAGCGTATAAGCTCTTTCTTGAAGCGGCACAGTTTATGCAAAGACTCGCATTTTCAAAAAGCGGGGAACAGCCTGTACGCGAGTCTATGGTCAGATTATGGCCCGTTACGGCGTGGAATTCCTGTTTTAAGTACGTACAGCAAACAGCAGCAAGTGCCCTGCGGTCACACATTTCACTGGAACACGTATTGCAAACCACATAACGCTGATCTTATTCTGATACTGTAAAATATTGCCACATGACCGCCGCAATTTTGTGCGCCTACCATCGGCGAAGGTCATTTTTATTTGCCAATGGTAGTTAACAAGACAAACATCGGCCAATACTGATATTCAGCCGGTGCATCCCTAAATGGAAGTTTCTCATTCGTCCAATTTCATAAGTATATTCAAATCAGGAACAACTTCACAATCTTTTTTTCCCTCTTGAACTAATTCTGTCTTTAAACATACATAAACTTTGTGTTGGCCGGCCTGGGAAATGAATGAATCAATCAAGTTTCTATTCCCATAATACAAGAGTGAGCAAGGTGAAGCTGTTCCTGGCTCCGTTCGAAAGTGTAATTCCTCTTACCGGCTCACTGTTACGGACAAATGATTGGTCCCTTTCCACTTAAATCCAGGTGTCTGACCTGAAAGAGTGCAATATTACAATTTTATGAGATACATTTTTATGCCACTGCGTAAACGGTTTCCAGAAAAGTCTTGGAAAGTGAATGAAGAATGCACAATATTAGAGAAAAGTCGAGCGCTAAATAAATGAAATCCGTTGCATGAGGCTTGATTCTGTAACACTTTTACTCTCCTGAAGCCAAAGCACTCTCACATTTTGGAAAAACTAAATATGCAGACAATTATTCAATCATAAAAAGAATAATTGCGAAATCAAAATTCCATGTGCACTATAACAATTGAATTTTCACTAGGGCTGCACAATATTTTAAAACCATTTCACAGCCCTGGAAATGTTTTGGCATCAAATTGTTTTTTGACTTTTTTTAGGTTCTTATTATTACAGAATAATATATGGTATAATAGTACTAGGAATAAATAATTGTAGTGCAAAATGTTAATCGTATGCTCTCACTGATGGCCTTTGAGTCCCTTTAGTCAAAGGTTAAAGATTAAATATTTCTGCTTTTTTAGGATTAACACTTATCTCACAAAGCTGGGTTACCATACCTTCATATCTGTAAAATTCAACCTTAGGTCACCACAGTTAAAGCTTAGGTTTCGAAACATGTTAACAACAAGTTGCATCTCAGCTAGTAGTCGTCTTTTCAATAAGAACCTAAATAAGAAGCAGTTCAAAGTCAAACGCAGACAAAATGAACATTCTTTGAATAATATCCCTATCACTCGTTCCTGGCTCTAAAACAGTTTGGTTCTCTCACTAGTTTTCACAGACGTGTATTTTTGGACTCCCATCTTTGGCCTGAGAGCTCAGGGTGCTCTTTAACTTTTCGGTCTCAAAAAGCTGATCCAAAGTCTCAAATAGTGACTCACTGGGCTCTTTCTTACAAGTATGCAAATTATGTTTTTTTTTTGTTTTTTTATAATATGAAGATGACAGGATATTGTGGTCTGATTTTGTTCACAACATTTTACTTTTACACAACTCGGATGGGACAGACATATCAGTTATTTTTTTGTATATGGATTAGTTAAGCAGAGCAGAATTTTATTTGATGTATTAGGACTTCAGCTAATGATTATGTTGTAGTAGTATTCTATCGATTTATTACTTATGATTTATCAAATCTATTAACTACATTTGAAACAAGCCTAAAATGTAAAATTTTACGTAGAAACGTAAATGCTGAATTTGGATTGTTGCCTTCAAAGCAGTGTTGGCTCAGTGCTCAAAATTTTTTGTGAGACAAGATTAGATGCTAGTTCTGTGGCTGGATATGCAAGAGCTTTACATAGTTTTTAGTAGTTCTTAAAATTGATAATTGGATTAATTGCAGGAACAAAATTGTAGTCACAGCATTTTTGTATGCTATCAATTAAATTGAATTATTAATAATAATTAATACCCTTCCTCAAGTGGAGGAGTTCAAGTATCTCGGGCGCTTTTTCACGAGTGAGGGAAGGATGGAGCGTGAGATTAACAGGCGGATCGGTGCAGCGTGCGCAGTGATGCGGCCGCTGTATCGGACCGTTGTGGTAAAGGAGCTAAGCCGAAAGGCAAAGCTCTCAATTTACCGGTCAATCTTCGTTCCCTCCCTCACCTATGGTCATGAGCTTTGGGTAATGACCAAAAGAACAAGATCGCGGATACAAGCGGTCAAAATGAGCTTCCTCCGCAGAGTGGCTGGGCGCTCCCTTAGAGATAGGGTGAGGAGCTCAGTCACACGGGAGGAGCTCGGAGTAGAGCCGCTGCTACTCCACGTCGAAAGGAACCAGTTGAGATGGCTCGGGCATCTGTTCCGGATGCCTCCTGGACGCCTCACCAGGGAAGACCAGGGAAGACCCAGGACACGCTGGAGGGACTATGTCTCTCAGCTGGCCTGGGAACGCCTTGGAGTCCCCCCGGACGAGCTGGAGGAAGTGTGCGTGGATAGGGAAGTCTGGGCGTCTCTGCTTAGACTGCTGCCCCCGTGACCCGGCAACGGATGAAGCGGAAGAAAATGGATGGATGGATGGGTATTAATAATAATGCATCGGTTTTATATAGCGCTTTTTTGGACACTCAGACGCTTTACATGTCATTATTCATTCACTCAACACGGTGGTGATAAACTACTACTGTAGCCACAGCTGCCCTGGGGCACACTGACAAAGGCGAGGCGACCAGTTTGTGCCATCGGCCCTTCCGACCACCACCAACCATTCACACAACACTCATTCTAGGCAATGGGGGTAAAGCGTCTTGCCTAAGGACACAATAACAGTTTGGCACTTTACAGCCGCAGCCGCCCCACTGTGGCATCAGGTGTTCCCAGAGGTTCAGTGTCTTGCCAAGGACACAACGACAGCAGACGGTGAGAGTTGATGGTGAAAGTCTTGAGATGGGCTCGAACCAGTGGGGGCGGGTCCCGGCTCAAAAGTGACCAAAATGATGTGCACTGACATGCTTGCAATACCACCCCGGGCCGATGGGGGTGGACCCAGAAGTAGAATTAGCCAATGTTAACATATTGCATTGGCAGACCTCTCAAACGTCTTTACAGGATGGTCCAAAAGCTGGCTCTTGACCCAAAGCTCCGTTTCACACATGCTGAGGGGGTGAATTTTTTTGGACCACTTTACTTGCTGTGAATTTTTGAAGTCTCTCTCGTTCAAATGAATGGAGCTCTCGCCAGCTGACGCATGCGCAGATGCGTTTTTTTCACAAATGTCTTGTGGGCGGGACCACTTGCGGCCATTTTGGATAGCTCCAGTAGAGCACATTTTTTGGCCCATTAGTTAGAACGGCGGAGATAGGCGTGACTCTGTCCGTTAATATATACACTTTATGGCTCGAACCCACGACTTTCTGGCTCAAAGGCCAATGCTCTACCAACTGAGCTACTGTCGCCCTAATTAAACTAATTACGGCTGATATGAAGGTTGATGGTCAGTGCTGCTGGATAAAATAATACACAGTTGGAATAACTGAGCTGAGATGTGCGGCGACTGCTTTCTTCAGCCCTGGCACATATCTGGTGTTTCCATATAGAAGCATGTCCAGATGGAAGCGTGTGCAGTTCCAGCTGTAGATCTCACATGTGTCTTTTTCCTCCAGGACCTGTCGGGCTCCATAGATGACCTGCCCACTGGGAATGAAGGCGCCCTGAGTCCTGGAGTGAGCACCTCTGGAGTATCCAGCAGCCAGGGGGAGCAGAGCAACCCAGCGCAGTCGCCCTTCTCCCCCCACACGTCCCCACACCTGCCGGGTATCCGTGGACCATCCCCTTCTCCGGCTGGTTCTCCTGCCAGTGCCAGTACCCCCCGCACAGGGCCGCTGTCCCCCGTCAACATGCCAGGTGAGAAGGACAAAAAATCTGGGCTTTTATTTTATTTTAGCATGAGGAGGTGTACATGTTATATAATATATTTAAATCATCTTCCTTTTGACAAAATTTGCAGTTTAGAATTCAAAATAGTAAATTTTTTTTCATCTTTCCCAAATCTGACTTAATTTGTAAAAGAAATCTCAGCTTAATAAATGTGGCGTTTTTTTCTTTTTTATTTTTTTCAACAAACCAGGAATAAATTAGGTCAGGTAATTTTGATTGCACCAGATGGCTTTATTTATGTTAAAATCACATAAATTCTATGGGGGGATTCTCCCCAACCATTGTCCTCCCTAAACTGTGCACATGCTCAATTTTGCGCATTTCTATTGCGGTATCTGCGCACAGAGAGTCTATGGAGCTGTTAAATTCCCTTTTTAGGCATAAATTAATACATTCCAGCTATTGGCCCAATATATCTGTTAACTGTTTGACATTATATAGCGTATATTTCTTTTTAAACGAACATGAATAAACTCACATCTTCAGGAATGCGTGTTAAAGGCCCCACGCTGTTTACAGATGTCATATTTTCCAAAAACGTTCCATATTGTTTTTGAGCCCCCTTGATGCCACTTTTGAGGCATCCAAATAGTAAGACTTTATTTTCTTCCACTTGGTCATTCCTAATGGTCTCAATCTCCTGCTTCATGAAGTTTATTCTTGTCAGTCTTCCTTTCAATTGTTGCAAAAACTAGGTGTGAAACATATTGCATATTAATAGGCGTGACTTTTATAAATATGTTTGTTTTCAGCATCCGCATTCATCAACAGCCGCAGGTGCTTACGCTCAGATCTGGGCGGATCTTACACTTTCATAAATCCCATATTGGAATATACACCCAAAATGTACACCCTTTTCTGCACAAGTTTCATAAAAGAGAGCCATTGTTTCTACCTGGCAGTCTTAGACCTTTTCATGTGAGCCCTGCGCCGTTGTAAAGTAAGTAAGTAGTAGTAGTAATCTTTATTTATATACCGCCTTTTCACTGCACATCGGAGTCTCAAATCGATTTACAATTGTGATTTTTGGGAGTGGGGGTGCCAGTACAGGAGGCACATGCCAGACCTATTGTACATATTATTAGTGGTAGGGGAAACCAGAGCACCCGGAGGAAACAAAGTCCCGACACGGGATGAGTTCGGCGTCTCGCTGCTGAGTGTGTTTGGTGTCTGCGCAGTGTGCCTCTGGTTCGTTATTATAATAGATCCATGCTCTGGCTGGGCTTGGAGTGTCTATGTGAGAATATACACTTTGGTAAAGCTGCGGCAGGCAGACATCAGTCAAATACAGTGGGGCAAAAAAGTATTTAGTCAGCCACCGATTGTGCAAGTTCCCCCACTTAAAATATTGACAGAGGTCTGTAATTTTCATCATAGGGTACACTTCAACTCTGGGAGACAGAATGTGAATTCCTGGATTCTTTTTCTCACAATGTAGAATGTATTTGTAAATTATGGTGGAAAATAAGTATTTGGTCACTTCAAACAAGGAAGATCTCTGGCTCTCACAGACCTGTAACTTCTTCTTTAAGAAGCTCTTCTGTCCTCCACTCGTTACCTGTATTGAGTGGTAATGAGTGGAGGACAGAACAGGCACCTGTTTGAACTCGTTAGCTGTATAAAAGACACCTGTCCACAGCCTCAAACAGTCAGACTCCAACCTCCACTATGGCCAAGACCAAAGAGCTGTCGAAGGACACCAGGAAAAGAATTGTAGACCTGCACCAGACTGGGAAGAGTGAATCTACAAACGGCAAGCAGCTTGGTGTGAACAAATCAACCGTGGGAGCAATTATCAGAAAATGGAAGACATACAAGACCACTGATAATCTCCCTCGATCTGGGGCTCCACGCAAGATCTTGACCCGTAGGGTCAAAATGATCATGAGAACGGTGATCAAAAATCCCAGAACACGGGACCCTGGTGAACACCGGGGGACCTGGTGAATGACCTGCAGAGAGCTGGAACCAAAGTAACAAAGGCTACCCTCAGTAACACACGACGACGACCCTGCTGAAGCCAGTGCATGTCCAGGCCCGTCTGAAGTTTGCCAGAAAGCACATGGATGATACAGCAAAGGATTGTGAGAATGTCATGTGGTCAGATGAAACCAAAGTAGAACTGTTGCAGAAGAATAAATCTTGCATCCCAAGAACACCTAGAATGAATACCCTACTGTGAAGCATGGGGGTGGAAACGTCATGCTTTGGGGCTGTTTTTCTGCTAAGGGGACAGGACGACTGATCCGTGTTAAGGAAAGAATAAATGGGGCCATGTATTGTGAGATTTTGAGCCAAAACCTCCTTGCATTAGTGAGAGCTTTTGAAGATTAAACGTGGCTGGGTCTTCCAGCATAACAATGATCCCAAACACACCGCCCGGGCAATGAAGGAGTGGCTCTGTAAGAAGCATTTGAAAGTCCTGGAGTGGCCTAGCCAGTCTCCAGACCTCAACCCCATTGAAAATCTGTGGACGGAGTTGAAAGTCCGTGTTGCTCGGCGACAGCCCCAAAACGTCACTGTTCTCGAAGATCTGCATGAAGGAATGGGCCAAAATACCAGCTACTGTGTGTGCAAACCTGGTAAAGACCGATGGTAATCGTTTGACCACTGTTATTGCCAACAAAGGTTATATTAAAAAGTATTGTTGAATTTTTGTTATTGACCAAATACTTATTTTCCATAATTTACAAATAAAATCTTTCACAGTTGAAGCGTACCTATGATGAAAATGACAGGCCTCTGTCATTATTTTAAGTGGGAGAACTTGCACAATCGGTGGCTGACTAAATACTTTTTTGCCCCACTGTATTTCCGCGATGGCATATTGAAGCAGTGGACATGAGTCGTTTGAACCCAGCGCTTTCCGCAACAGACAAGGGCTGGGGGCAGAGGGAAATTAATGCCATAACTTTCGTTGTTTCTTACCGTCATTACTGTATGGTTGCTGCCGCTGTAGAATCTCCCTAACTGATAGCTGCATGAGTTGCTTGTTTACGCAATTTTTGACGAGAGAAAGTAACTTGTGCGCATGAATCCTCATGTCATCTGATTAGGGCTGGGACAATGCACCGACGTAATTGATGACGTCGATGCAAAAAATGTCGATACAAAATATGCACGTTGATGCGTCATAACAAACAAGATTGCAGCGAGTAGTAGCAGTAGTGGGGCGTTCAGACCGCCACTGGAACGCAGTTTTCACGCACAGTAGACCCACATTCTCTAAAATACAGAGGCTAGGGGTGTTCAGACCAGAAGTCCTGGGCTAACAGAGTTAAACTAGCTGAGTTAGGCCAGCCGAGCTAGCGGTGTTATGCTAGCGGCTTTTTGTGTAAAGTTAATCTCCAAAAGGCAGCTCTGCAACGTCTGTGTTCAGAGACCTTCCAGAGACTTTATATAACAGCAGTATGTGTTCACGGAGGTGCATCATCAGTTTGTTTTATTATTAGACTGTACTTTCGCATCGGCGAACATGCTAGCGCCGCTACATGCTTGCTGCGCTAGTTTAGTCACTGGAGATTGACAACTCGGGCTGTGGGAATGTCACAAGCACACACACCGAGACTTAAGGGGAAAGGAAAGTGTCTGAGTCTAAGTTGTTATTTGGGAATGAAAATGATTTTTTAAGTCAGCTAGGCCTATGTTCAACATAACTGCTTTTCTAGCAAAAAATAATGAAAATAAACATTTAGAATTCAACACTCTTTAGCTTAAAGCCCTCAAGATTACATTTTTTAAATTTTTTTTTATTGAATGCTAAACAAGTGTTATTTTCATCTGAAAGAATAATACGATGAATTTTTTTCAGTAAGCTAGATGTGTTTTCAAGGCTTCAAGGTTTTACGCTACCTCTGACTAAGAATGTCTTATTTTTGAATTTTAAGAGCAATAAATATATTTTAAGAAATCGTGTTTTTTTTTTTCATTCATCAACATGTATACATTATTAGTCAATTAATGGGGAGATAATCTAATCAAATCGAATCGAACTGAAAAAATTATTCGTTAGATTAATCGTTAAAAAAATTATCGTTTATCCCAGCCCTATATCTGATCGGTCTTTTTTGATCGGCACATTTAATCGATCACGCAAATTAAGCCGTGTTCGGCCGATTATAATCGGTCACCGGCCGATCGGTGCACCTCTAGTAATTAAAGAATCAGACATCATTTTGTGGCCAAAATTCACTTGTATCCTGTCAGGCTCTGGTTGATCTGCTCATAGGCCACACTTTTCGTTCTCATTCATTCATTTCTCATTTCTCAGGCTCACGCCGTTTACTCCAAGGCGGGCTCCCGTGTCCGCCGGGAGTCCGCAAAATGAGGCGGGTGTTAAGAGTCTAAAAATGGTACCTCCAGTATCTCTTCAGCGTGGGAGGGGTTGTCAAACCACGTAATTTACGCGCAACGCGTAACTAATAACATTGGTCTGATGCATCAATTTTTGTCATTTGAAATTAAATGTTTTTATTCCGAGTTCAATACATAACTTAGTTATCAAAAATACATGTATATTATAAATCTAAGTATCAACTGAAAAAGTAGTGAGAAGTTAAAAAGGAATATGATATATATATATTTTGCCCTTAATAAAACTTTTTATTTAGCAAATGTGTCTCCATCCTTGTTCATAAATTTACCACGGTTATACGGATTTGCTGACAAATATACAGTTTGTAATGTAAATAGTAGTAAAAGTATGTGGTCGGAAATCGTAACTTTTGAACCCCTTTACTGCATGTGCACAGACAAATGAAACAAAGTCTTTATGATCACAGATTTATTAAAAACAAAAGTAAAGTGCAAAATTCACAAAGTACGTATTTCTACTGAGACCAGCTGCAGATGAGGGGAAAGTTTAGTACTCCGGTCACTCATTACTCGTTTATAATCTCCTCACTTGTGGGAAGGGATTTTCAAACAAATAAATATACACACGACAACTTAAAGGCGCTATACCCGTTTCTGCAATGTTTGAATGTTTAGCACCGCCCCCCAACTCGCTCAATGGCTTCTCATTTCCCCTACGCTCTCATCCCACGGAGCCACCTAGTTTTATTTGTGATCTGATGCATATGCTAACATTAGCATTAGCGCAACTTCTTGTAAGCTGTGCAACAATCACTGATGAAATGGCACTAAAGCAACGCACTGCTAACCCAATATATAAGTAAAAGAGTACCGCTAGTTTTGCGTCCGAATGTATTAATTTAAGGGGCGACAGTAGCTCAGTTGGTAGAGCATTGGCCTTAAGGCCAGAAGGTCGTGGGTTCAATTCCCACCTCTGCACCTTCTCCACCGACTCCCACTGATGACTGCTATCGTTGTGTCCTTGGGCAAGACACTTAACTCCACTTTGCCCAAAAGCCCCCGCTGAAAGATCAAGGCTATGCTCACACTCAGAGAGCAGCCGTCCTCCTGTGGACTCACCACCTGCAGAGGGTCAGTGAGGGGCTGGTGCTATGAGACTTGGGTGGCATCTCTGATTGCCACCCCCCTGACCCAGAAATGGATTAAAGGGTAGAAAATGGATGGATGTATTAATTTAAAACTTTATAATTAAATATTATAATATATTCTAATTTGTTATAGAGCTCCTCAAAGCAGCAGCACTCCATTGACTTGAATGCAATTCTTCCGATCATTTTTTCTTTAACAGAACTCTCAAACCAATAATGGCCGAAGCCCCAATGCAATCTGTTAGTAATTCAGGTGTGTAAAATACTGCCATTACTCTGCAAGTACAACAAGCTATCAGCGCCTGTCCCTACACACTTGTCTGTGTAGGGACAGACAAGTCAATACATATCAATCAACACCATTAAACGTCAATCGGACAATACAGTATACATATACATCCTTAACACACATGCACGGACGATTTCAGAATTTGCTGTTAACGTTTTCATGACAAAAATACTGTTTTAATGTGACAAAAACCCGGAAGTTACCATGAAACAACTAGCTAGCTTAGCTGTTACCTGCCTAGCATGTCCCGGTGAAACCTTTGGGAGCTAACTATTTTATTTGCAGTCATTAAATACATTTCGAATTATAAGGGTTGTCTAATATTTTTTCAAATATGTATATATTTTTTATTTTAGAATTTTGAAGTCGAAGCCCTGGTGTTAAGCAGCGCTGTAGAGGCTAGAGGACGCAGGCTGTTCGCTTGTTCTGTGAGGGGAGGAGAACGAGCGTCCCGCTAAGACTCTACTCAGCATTTTTCACCGCTTGTAATTCTTACACAGCTGAATCAATTACCTCAAGTTTTCAATTAAATTATGTTTTATGAAACAACTTGTATGTAGTAAAAAGCATTTTTATGAACTACTTCAAAACCTAAAAAATTGGGTATAGCGTCTTTTAAGTATAAGCACAAAACAGAATGGTAACACGTGAAAGAGCAAAACGCAGCACACTAGCACAGGAAGGACGTTTTAGCTTAGCTTGCTATCAATAGCTAAATGTAGCTAGCTCACTGTGTACAACAGACAATCAAACTGATGCACTAGTAAATACATTTCAGTGAGAGCTTTGTGCCAACAGGATACATAGCTAACCAGTTATTTCCAGGATTACCTCAGACTAGTCACAAATCAAGAGCTGTGCGATCTCCCTGAAAACTTTGTTCCGTGTTGTGCGTTTGAGCTGCCTTTTGAATTCTTTCTTTAGCCTAAAGAGATTAATGTATGGACCTCGTCCACCGACCAGGACGCTGACTTTTGGGGCTTTCTGTGCGATTCCATTCCTCTGGAGTGAGGAGTACATTATAAAAATAGATCCATGAGAGGACGTATTGAAGCAGGCAGCTGGTTTAAAGATGGCGGGGTTGGGTTGTTTTCACCATAGGGTCGGACGTCGCTTCCAGTGACGACACTCGTTGACCAATCGGTGTAAGGCAGTCGGCTGACGTCACCTCATGGTATCGCTTCGGCACGGATGGAACCACAGTCAAGGTGGTACGAAAAAAGTACCCCATATCCCAAGCCCAACCCTAGTGGAAATGCAAAACAACCACGCTGTACCGTATTGTTACTGTGGAAAAGCGGCATAAGTCTCTCCAGAGGAGTTTCAGCCAATTCTGCAAACATGCTACTGTGTTAAGCAGCACTGTAGAGGCTAGAGGATGCAGCCTGTCCTTTTGTGAGTGGAGGACAATGAGCGTCACGCAAAGCCTCTACTCAGCATTTTTTACGGCCCGAATTCATCCACAAGCTGAATCAATGAGCTCAAGTTTTCAATTAAATTATGGATTATAATACAACTTGTATGTAGTAGAGGTGTGTGCCGTCTTCTGTCTGGTGTACACTAGGGTAGTCTTGCACAGTTGTTCCAATGTGGTTTTACTGCAAATGGCAAATAAATGAATCTGAATCTGTAATAAGCATTTTTATGAACACATAAAAAAAATCTGGTATAGCTTCTTTAAATTTAATGTGGGGTCCTTCGAGAAAACTATACGGAGCTATCAAAATAACTTTAGCAGTTTCTGAATCCGAGCGAGAGTCAGACGTGAAAGAGGCGGGAACGAGTGCCGTGTACGGAGCGATGGACGCTCGCGTTCAGCTGCTCAGTGTGTGGAGGTGATTGCAAAAAGGTTCTTTGATGGAAAGAAGCACAAAAAAGATCCCCCTTATCCTCCACAATTAACGTGTTGCACCCTCTGCTCTGAGAGTTTGGGAGAGGTTTGTGGTGTGTTGTGTTGAAATAAACAAAGGAGATTAGTGTTATGTGTAAATTATATACACCTATATTTCAATTATTTATTTTTCCAAATAGTTTTTACTATTTAAGGTTTTCAAATAATTTCATATGAAATAAATAGCTTTAATGGATTTCTATGAAATAAAATATTTGTATGGTGTCTGGACCCTGATCTGTTGAACTGATCACGTAAGTGGACCTTGTGCCAATTTAATTGGGGACCCCTGCCTTATACAATCCCACATGTAGCATATAAAGATATTAAGCCCAGTAAACTGATGTAATATTGGTATTTGGGCTAGGACTAGAATCTAGGATTCGGCTCACGAAGGGAGAGGTGTTTAAAATCAGACAACAGAGACAGTGGTATGGTGCAGAACAGAAGTGAATTATTATAAAAGCAGGGGATAGATTACATGCACAATATTCACATACAATATTTACACAAAAGAATTGAATGGGTTAGAGTGAGAGAGTCCGGTTGAGAGTTGGATTTGGGGGAGTGTGTACTTTGCAGTAATCCAGTTCAGGTTATTGTCGCAGTTTGTGGTGTTATGTGGGGGAGCAAAGACTGCTCGCCTCCTACCGCACTGTAGGGTTGACAGTCTCTAGATTTTGGCCCTGGGGCAGCTCGCCATCAGAAGAAGGATGGATCCAAGGAACCTGGTCTGCCTGACCTAATAATATAAAATCCAACAGTTTAATTTAGCAATATAGCACTACTACAAAAATGCATTTACATGATCAATAAATGTATATTCAATAACCAGAGTACTCTTTCTCACTTCATAATTCACAATTAATCCTCTGCACCATAAATCATAATGCAAGGCGCCTACACAGGGAAAATACAACATACATCGGAGGCTAGTGCTAGCTTTTTAGCTCTGTGCAGAACAAATGCATAAACTCACCAGTTCCCTCTAGCGTGTCACAATTGTAGGAGGCGCCTGTAGTGAATGACATACCAGTTACTACTTTGAATGTGCAAAAAGAAGTTTAAATCGTGCATATACCTGCAGCTGCTCGATCCTGGCTTCACCCACAGCTAACGCACACACTGGTGAATGAAGCAGCTTATTTTCGGAAGTAAGTTGGCGCACGGGACCATGGGAATTCACGGAGCACAACCAAATACGGGCGGAGAGCAGGGAAAGTAAAAGCGGAACGAATACGAATATAGCGTTTAATATTTCGATAAATACATTTTATAAATGACACAATCTGTGGCGGTCAGTTTCAAATCTGTGGCGCACCGCCACAAATTAGCCTTTGTGTGGGAAACACTGGTGTTTCCCTCTTGCAGGAGTTTATTACAAAGGGGAATTTTGCGCAGTTTTCCTCAATCTGCCAGTGCGGGCAAAACAAATCCATGTTCAGGCTTGCTAGTGGATTCTCTGTTACAGAAGTATAAATAAATCTTTATGAAACACAGAAAATATTATAGCGTGAAATATTTTTTTACCTTTTTTTCTTGTTTTGAATGTCCTGTAAATAAATTTTCTGTTGTCTATTTTTACTGTATTTTGATCTGTTACTCTTTTCATAATTACTACAATGCTATATACTAAGCCGCAAAAAGCTCCTGTGTGCGTTTTCCCGTATTGCCAATTCTAACTAAAATAAAATACATTCTGCAAATAGAATAAATTCAGTATGTACGAACTTTTTTCATATCGGAATACATTTTCAAAAAACTCATTTCAATATTGGTTATCAGCCATAAAATTTTCATATTGGTACATCCCTAATTAATACATTTCTATTTGTGGTTGCAGTGCCCCAGATGCCCCCACGGCCCTCCAGCGGTCAGCCTGATGGAAGCTTGCATCCATCCATGAGCCAGTCCCCTATGGCCCAAGACAGAGGTGTGTAGTCACACTGTGACGGAGCTGCACCCAGTACACATAGCACCAGCCCCTCCTGCAGGTGGTGCAGGAGGGGATCCTCCTGCAGGTGGTGAGTCCACAGGAGGATGGCTTCTGTCAGTCATGACACAGCCTTGATCTTTCAGCGGGGGCTTCAGGCAAAGTGGGGTTAAGTGTCTTGCCCAAGGACACACGACAGCAAACATCAGTAGGAGTCTGTGGAGAAGGTCTTGTGGTGGGCTCGAACCCACAACCTTCAGGCTCAAAGGCCACTGCACTACCAACTGTCGCCCTCTACATAATGTCAAAAGGAAATGCATGCAAAATGAGCATAGCTGTAAAAGTGGAAAAAAACCTTTAAGCATAACACTGGATATCTTCGTTCATTTGAAATAACCCCATTGTATCTAAAGCGGCATATCATATAACATATCCTGTCTGTGTCCTCCGCAGGCTTCATTCAGAGGAACCCTCCGATGCCTTACGGTTCCCCGCAGTCTGCCTCGTCTCTGTCCCCTCGACAGTCCTCTGGAGGCCAGATGCATCATGGAATGGGCCCGTACCAGCAGAACAACTCCATGGGTGGATACGGGCAGCCGGGAGCCCAGTATGGCCCACAAGGTTTGGACTTCTGTCCTTTCATTTGTCCCAAAGGCTTCCTGCTGCTATTAATGATTAATTTTGATAATTGACATACAAAGACATCGCATGTAGTGATACAGTCACGTAGTGCACTGAGTGCTCAATACGTTGATCACAGTATACTGGTCAATCGCAAAGGCATGTGCGCGTTCACGCGTGTTTTGTTGTACCAACATGGAAAGTCTTAGAACAGGGTGCCCACTCGCGTGCGCCACACACACTGGGAACGGCACTCCATATGCCCCTCCCCATTGAGTCTGTGCGGTCAAGCCATTTTCATCCTCTGTTAGCAGTTAGTGCACTGGTCACGGTTGACGCAGAGAGAAGTCTGTCATTCAGGTCTGCAAACATGTCTGCTGCTGAACGTGTTAATACAGTGCATCCTCAAAAGATAAAACAGAAATGACGTGTGTGCATTTCTGACAAATGGTATGAGCACTAAGCAGTTATAAGTGATTTACACAATATGACAAGAACATACTGTACATTTTGTGACCGATGTATGTGTACTTTTGTGTGTAAGCCTCTAACTATTTGTCATTACTTGATCATGGATTGAACCAAATGTGAATCGGAATTGTACACCCCCCACATAAACCTGAGATGGATCACGCTACAATTGTTGCTGTAACAGTAGATCTTAGTTTTAGTGTGGGCTGGTGTACAGTGTATGTAGTACAAGTACATCTCTATTGATCTAAAATGAGGTAATAATAGAAATGTAGAGGCGAAGATGTTGCCTATAGATCGCCTCTTGGCTGCTAAGATTTTAAGTGTTTCCCAAACGCATGTCTCCATAAACCACAATCCAAATAGTGTATTAGAGGTTTCTTTATTGTCCCCTATGACCAGTAATCCACATAAACATAATACTTTCCACAATTGACACGGTAAGAAACGGTTTACCTCCAAACCTAGCAGCACCTCTGCCCTCTATTTCTGCCCTTTTTATAGACGAGGTTTTTGGGCATATCCGGTTTACTTCCTGCTTTTGGATCCCCATTTCCGGTTTCTTTTCAAACACTGCTTACAGATGGTCTTTTCTGACCTGAAATATGTCTCGGATATGGCTGCATTCGGCAAAATCTCTTACAGAAGTTGAGCTATACACAATTCCTCATCCAACTACAATAATGATGTGGGATGACAACATTCCACAACAAAGATATGTTTGTATTTGTTGACTCCGTGACTGTGGACGGAAATGCTATCATGCAACTGTACCTTCATAGCAACAAAGTGTTTCTAATACAGGAACACGGCCCTTTGTTTCATATAATAGCAGATGTTCAATCAAGTCAAAGTCTTAAAGATTTTGTCCACAAACCTTAGGTAACCATGGTTACCACGAAGGGAGAACTTGAAACTGTTGTACATGTATAGTCAGACATAGACGTTGGGTTGAGTGTTCATTAATTTTGAGTTCAACATCAAATATTTATTATCAGATGTCACTACATAGAATGTTCTAGCAAATCATTAAAGGGGACATATCATGAAAAATCCACTTTTTGTGCCTTAAATGCCTTATGTTGTGTAGTTGGAGCCTCTAGAAGTGCAAAAAAGTTGAAATCAGTCTCTTCATGGGTTGCAGAGAACACTTCATTTTCTGTTTAGGTAAGATTTTTCAACCCGTTCTGATTTTGCCATTCTCTATTACGTGTTTAGAATTATTACGTCACAGTATTTTCAGCGAGACTGCTATATAAGGGCTTGGGCGTCAAACAAAACACTTCGGCCCAGCCCTCCTCTACTGTGCATCACTTAATTTGTAGTCCAAGCTCAAGGATGCCAGCGAACAGGGCTGGACTGGCCATCGGGCGTACCGGGCAATGCCCAAAGGGCCGATGCCCATATTTGGGCCGGTCTGTTTGCCTCATACAAAACACATGTTTATGAGAAGTGTAAATCCGCTGAGAATTGTTCGAGGGGAGCGCGCGTGTCCGCGGGGCACCTGCTGTATGTACTCAAACGGGATTCCGCCACCTCAGCGGCCGCAGTGTTCCGGGGCATCTGCGGCCGCTATGTAATGAGCAGCTTCCGCGTCCAGCGGCTGCGAGAGGCTGTGAGCGTCCAGCCGCTCGCAGCCTCTCCACCGTGTTGTGGCTGAGCGCGCAGCCTCAACGTGGCCATGCACCCAACCGCATAAACGCGCACAGGACCATGCGTGTCTTTGAGTAATCTGTGCACCCAATAAATGCACTGCTGTAGGAAACAGTCCGGGTCTCCCCTCTCCTCTCTCTCTCTCTCTCTCTCTCTCTCTCCTCGAAGCGCGATTAAACGCCATAAATAAAGCTCTGATACCTACATTTTGCATTGCATTAAAAGTTCATGTTTGAGCCCAAAAGTAATATGTTGTGAACAAATTAAACAGATTTAGAGCCAGCAAATGGCTGACAATATGCATTTCAGTCTTTTTTGACCAATTCTCATCCCTGTAACATACAATAGTGTTGTCTGTGTCCACCTCCCTCACTCTGAGACATGTTCATTACCCTCTTGTAATGTAGACTATTGCATTTTATGTTGTTGTTGAAACTGCACATATTCTGATTCTCTACAGTATTTGCTTCCACATACTGTATAAACTAGGAGTTGGCAACCTGCGGCTCCGGAGGCGCATGCGTCTTTTTCCTTCTGTAGAAGGAAAAACGTTCTTAACGTTTTTAAATGCTGTAAAATTATGCATAAGTAATATTCAATTTAAAATTTTCTGTCAACGTGTCTGTCAAACCGGCTGTGAGCATCAGAGACTGTGCGCATGGATCCCAAAGCTAAAAAGAGAAGAGTCAATAATAAGACTGGACTAAGAATGAAAATTTACATTTGCTTTCAGTCAATGAGGAAGGACTGCTTCATGTTTGCAATGTAATGAGAAGTTTCTATGAGATAATTGTATCTGTGCTTAGAAACTACAAAAATGGCCGCTCGGAGTGGAGTTGAACCTGTGTCACCTGGATGGGGGGGTCAAAAGCACCTCATTTGCATTTAAAGAGACAGCACCAAAACAGGTTGCTCTCAGACGCACCTCAGAACAGGTGTAGAAGAAAGGCCCGTGGAGCTACAAATAACGAGACTCAGACCCAGGCATTGCAGTTACGCTTTATACAGGCCACGAATTAATGATTTAGATGTAAAAATCAATTATTTGAAAACACTAACTGTCCACTTTAATTCACAAGTAATTATTACAATATTGTACATTATTCAAACTCAAATAAGTGGGAGTAAGAAAAATCTTATACCCACCACCGTGAATATCATAATTTACGTTTACATTCACAAATTGGATGCTTGTTATAACATTGTTTTGATAAAACACAGTTCTCAAATAGACAGGACACTGTGCTGGTCAGGATTGTGTGTGAGCTGCATCTGTGTGAAGATTGATATTTACTTTACCAATTGGCATGATGTTTGATTCACCAGCGCGATATAAATAAAGACTACTTATTTACGTTTTGTTATATATTCTGTCTAAACAATAGACAGTTTTGGTCACTAGATGTCACCGCATAGACACCAATGACCTGTATTGATTATTAATCAATAACAGTGGTGCATTAACAACTAAAAAGTGGGATACAAAACATACAACAGAGTGAGTCTCAAAAAAGAAACCAGTCGTTGAGGAAGGCGTTTTAATAACCAAGTGAAGAACAATGTAAGAAAATCGGTCTCGGTCTGTGTCGTTTTGTTTCCGGCGATGTCCTTCTTTGATGATCCGTGGTTGTGATCAATCGTTGAGAATTGCAGCATCTTTGCACATTGGATTGTTGTCTGGTCCAGCAGAAGCGCAGATTCTGTGCTCATTTCAGCAAATTCTGAAAGACAGAAGCATGAATATGGAAGATTTGTGTCATCAGATTTACAATTTTTGTTTTAGCTTGAATTTTTCCATTTGAAATTTTTTCCCCTGAAAAAGCATGTTTGAATATTTTTATCTTTGCATTTCAATAATAAAAAATTCAGTTTAGAAATTTTAATGTGATCAAAATTTCAAAATGACATATTACCTTAAAAATATTCAATAATTTTTTTATCAATGAAAAAAAAACTATTTGTTCCATCAGAAATTGAATTTTAAATGGACCTGAATTCATCTATTTGAATGTTTTTAACATCTGGAATATTTTTTTCTGTGAATTTCAGTCACTGATTGTCAATTTCATAATGTTAAATTCAACAGTCAAAATTCAATGGTGAAAAATGCACATGACACATCCGGTGTTCTGACGAGTTGTGTGCTCTGTCAGTTGGTCTGCGCATGTGTCATTTTACTGAGGTAAAGACAGGCGCTAGCTTTCAGCAGTTCTATCGGTTGATAACATGAATCTAACAGGTTGATATGGGATTTCTAATGAATGGATTGTAATGAAAACAAAGGCGAATAACAAGATGATACTACATTAATTTGATGAGTTAGTCTTTTGAACATTTTGGGTAAATGTGCTTGTTTCAAATCATTATTGCTGTATATTCCTGTTTATTTAGTTAGGCTGTGTGTGTTTGTTTGTGTTCATGAAAACCATCACATTTGAACAATAAAAGCAACAAAGGACAGTGTTATTGTTGGTAACGTTACACAGTATTTGGTTCTAGTTTCCCGTGTAGCAGTTTCCACAGGGCTCACTCGTGGTACTTGAGAAAGAACTCCATGTAAAGGAATTAACAAAAAACATGTGTTCCACAGCTCGAACTCTTGTACACTAAATGATATTTGCTTAGTTGTCTCTGAAATAAAGTAAGAATGGTAAGAACACCGTATGGCTCCTTATTTCTTGAGCTGTGAAAAGTTACATGCTCTTTCGGCTCCACTCGCTCCGTAAACAAAGAAAAACCTCTATCTCTTTCTTTCTTAAAGTGATGGTAACGTAAATATTCTAAGTTAACAAAATCTCCATTAGTTCTAAAGGGTCTAATGTAGATAACGAGAGATTCCAACGTCAGTGAAGAGAAAACAGAGTTCATTATGCGCA